CTGTGTCTCTCTGCGCGCACTCCAGTGGCGGCGACGCGGAGCTGGCTGCCCAGCCCGGCTCTCCCGTGGCTCTGCAGGCACGGAGCGATGCTCGTGGATGCGCCCGGGCATCGCTCCCGCGGCGCTGGGGACAGCCCCGCTCTCGTCTGCTGGCCAGAAACCCCAACCACGAGCACAACGGGAGGTTAGCAGAGACCAGCACCCCCTCACTGCCTCCTCTGCGAAACTCCACCCGGGAAGGGTGCGGCCCTCCGGAATTCACGCACTTCTCTGCTGCCTTTTGGTCGCCTACAGACAGGACACAACCAGGCTTTCCTGCCAAGCTTGGGGTCCTGAATCTTCCAGCTGCAGCCTTGCCGACCAGCATCTCCCAACGAGAGCTGCAGAACGCTGCGTGATTTTCTCCCCCGGTAAAAGGAGGCTCATCCTAACCCGTGTCCTTGCTGCAAAACGTTGTCTTACCGACTGGCAGTTGGTGGAGGTAACGGGGGTGCCAGGGACCGCACGCCTCCGCCAGCCCGGACGACGAGGCGCGACAGCCCGGCTGAGTGGGAACCGTTCGCCCGTCACCCCGGGCAGGGAACACGGCGATGCCCTGGCGCAGACGCCCCGAGCTCAGGGGTCTGGTGCCTTCCCAGACCTATTTGCTTCCTAGGTGCCGCAGGAGCTCCCTGCTTTCTGCAACGCGTCCGAGCTGAGGGTGTTGCATGCTTTTGGGCTCTGTCAGTCAAAAGTCCAGACAGGCCACATCACAGTGAAACAAACAAAAAATAATAAATAAATTTAGAAAAAAAAAAAAAAGGCAACGTATGGCTCGACTGAGTCTCTGGCAGCTCTGCATCACAGGGCTGTCCCGCCTGAGGCCAGGGAGGTGGCAAGAGGGGACGGTACGGGCTGGAGCGAGGTGCAGGCGCTGGGCTACGTCACAGCTCTGCTAGGGAATGCCTCCTACCATGCTGGTGTCAGTTTTGGCTCCAAAGGAAGGGATTTCGCTCTTCGGACTGGATGGCGTCCCGACATCTGGCTGGATAAACCCTCTTCTGTCTATCAAACTGGAAAACAGAACGGGGAAGGGTGCGAGGGGAGAGGAGTTACGGAAACAAAGACTCTGTGAAGACGGGAGCCGGTGAGCCGCAGCGAGTTCGAGGGCTGTCCCCGCGGGAGCCGCGAACCGAAGCACCGGCAGCAGCGCGCCGGAGAACGCGGCTTCCTGCCCATTAGACAGACCACAGAGTTATCACACAAGCCACCGCACAGCCCGTAGGCAGTTACAGCTTTGGGTCACCACAAACCCAAACGGGAACTGGCGAAAGGTCTTTACAACAGGAAAACAGCACGAATGAGGAGAGAACTGGAGTAAACCACTGTTCTCCCCACGAGCTCCCGGCAAACAGCTCGGCTCCCTGAATCTGCAGATTCACCATCGCCGAGTGGCAGCGGCAGCACCGGCATTTCGGCACCTCCGAACCCAACACAAAGCTTGGGGGTACCTCAGGGAGCAGGGCCAGACGTCAGCGCGAAACACGCCGACTCCGGCTGCGCAGCCTCAGACACCTTCCCCTGCCGCTGTGCTGCCCTGAGTCACCCCCTCCGAGATGCTCCAGACCAACCCACACCGCATCCAGACAGTAAACTGGTCTCCAGGATGCCCACGCGCCCTAGGACAGGCTGAGAGCTCCGAGCTGGCGTGCAGACCCTCAATGCCCGCAGCACCACGCAAGGGGATGCTGGCCCGGCTCTGCCCACCCGCATCCTCCTGGGACGAAGCGGCGATGACCCTGCGCTGCGGGCACCCGCGCTCCCGGCCAGGGCTTCC